AACAGTTTTATTTAATGATCAATATAGAGTAAACAATTGATAAACTTTAGTTTGCGAAACTGAAGTAAATCCCTCATTGGGGTGCAGTGGAAGATCTCTTAAATAAACTCCCCTAACTAAAGAAGCTCTGGTTGCGTAGTGGTTACGAATCAGGCTGTGAGCCGCAAGGTCAGCAGTTCGAAACTACCAGCTGTTCTCCAGGAGAAAGAGGAGGCTTTCTGCTCCTGTAAAGATTTCCAGCCTCGGAAACCCTGTACAGGGTCGCTATGAGTCAGAACCAACTCCACGGCACATAAAAACAACAACAACAACAACAACAACTAATGTACTGGGTTACTTGGTACTCTTCATTTTTCTAACAAATTTACTGATGATGCTCATGACAAATCAACCACACACTAGTAGGCCTTGTCTGTTTTACCCTCACACTTCTGCTCAAATTAGTTGAGGCAGATGGTTACCAAGAGTCACGTTTTCCTTCCAAACATTTTTTTCTTATTATATTTGCTATTTTAATTAATAATTTGTGTAAACTGGTAAAATACAAATGTGAAAAGAAAAATTGTTGTTTCTATGAAAAGAAATTTGAATGCTTAGGAGTATTCCAGTAAAGGAAAACTGCTTTAAAAAAAATTGCTGTTGGATAGATTTCTGGCAGAATGGCAGACTAGACAGACATGCTACACAGACTTTCTACAAAAAAGATATGAAAAACCAAAGGAAACATATAGATGATAATTTTGGGACCCTGGGATTCATAGGAAAGGATATAGAAGTGGATTGAATACTAACCAGAAGAATAAGCTGAATAGAGTGATGAGACAGGAGACATATGGGTGAACTGTAGGCTGGTCTGACTTAGCACAGCTAACTTGAATTTTTGTGAGCAGTACTGGATCCAGATGTTGACTTAGGGTTCAGATGCACACCAGTGATTGGTGACAATAACTGTGTGAAGCTCTCTTATTCCCCTCGCTCTCCTGGTGATAACAGAGCTGGCCAGCCTCCAGCCTCACACATCCCCTCAGAGCACCTTCTCTGTCTGAGGCCAGAGCCATGCTGTTGTGAGTCAGGTTCCAGGTCTACTATCCCTGGTCTGGAGTCAAATCAACTCTGCCTCCTCAGACCAGCCCTCAACATGCAGGGATTCCCATAAACAGCTACCATGTGCCCAGCTGCCCCTGAGCCTGACAGAATTCCTTTTGGGAACAAATACCCTAACCTCAGCCATCTTTAGGATGCCTCTTTTAGAGCCTGCACACATTACTTCTGGATTAGGTGTCCTGATCATAGATAACACCTAGGCCTATAGGAGCTTCATGTAAGGCAGGGCCTGCCACCCTCTCACCTCTCCCCTGCCCACCCAACCAGAAAGAGACTAGAGGAAGCTGAGACTATGGTCCTAGGCCACTCTTCAGGCCTGGAACAGAACTCCTCCTCATGGCCCAATTTTCAACCAAGCAGTAGATATATAAGGGACAACAACACTAGTGAGATTTGCTCACCATATAATGGTATGCTATTATACCATCAAAGGGCATCATTTACCTGGTGACAAGGTTCAGAGGGGTTGGGAAGGAGGGTGGAATGGAAATAGGAACCACAGGGAGGCAATGGGATAACTGTTGTTGCATGGAAAGGATTGTAATCATCGAGATGAAACAAAGTGTGTGATTTGTTGGCTGTAAAACTGCTTGGTAAACCTTCACTTCATTCACAATGGAAAATTTTAAAAAAGAATGCATAAAAACAAAACCATACCAGCTTCACAAAAACTATTAAAGAGAGCTATTTGGACAAAGAACCAATAACAGCAGACAACAACCTAAGATTAGCACACATGACAATCTCAGTCAGAATTCAACCCAGATGCAGAAGAAGTATCCAAAGTAAAATAAACCTAAAATACTGAAACTAAGGAACTAGTGATATCAATTTATAATGAAGACAATTACAAAGCCAAAAAAGGAAATAGTGTAGTTACAGAACTTCCAAATGGGGAGGCAGTTAAGTAGATTTTACGATAAAACAGACTATTTTAAACTTAAAGAAAAAAAAGAATACATTACAGAGCAGTCTCAAAGAAAATGAATAAACCTTCTCATCAAAATGAAAAAGAGGAAGACCATGAAGATTTAGTAAACACTGAAACAACAGCACAGAAAATTGTGTGAAACAGACAAACCAGCGGCACAACAAGAACAACAATCAGCTAGCAAAATGAAATGTTAAAGAGCAAGAATGAATCTGTGAAACACCAAATAACATGGCTGAAGCTGGAGGACAATATGCTGAGCGAAATGAGTCCATCCCCAAAGGATATATATTGTATCAAACCATTCTTTTAAAAAGTCAAGAAAGTTTTTCGCACTAGGAAAAATATTCTTTGAGGATTACCAGGGATGGGAGAAAAGGAGGAGTAATTTACTGGCTAGAGGGCAGACATCTGTTAAATTGGGCGAAGGAGAAGGCAAAATACCAATAAGAAGGTTGGCAAAAGAATGATAGAAGGCATGAGAAGAAATGAGGATGACAAGAGTTAAAAGCAACAAAGGAAAATACTGCTTTAGACACAATCTTGCAATAATGGTGATGTATGGGTAGATACATGGCTAGACATACAGGCAGAATGGGTGTGGGAGAAGAAAGGGAGTATGTATACCTACAAACATAGAGATTTGACAAAGAATATGTGTATATGGCTGTTTACCCCAACTCATCTGTCCACTCATCATACTGTGGTGACTTGTGTGTTGCTGTAATTCTGGAAGCTATGCCACCAGTATTTTAAATACCAGCAGGGTCACCCATGGTTGATAGGTTTCAGTAGAGCTTCCAGACTAAGTCAGACTAGGAAGGAGATGAACTACTTCTGAGAGGTTAGCCATTGAAAGCCTTATGAATAGCAGTGGAGCACTGAATCATACAGCTATGTGGGGAATGGAAAATTGAAGAGGAATAGAGTCACACTCATTGTCAAAAAGAGGATTTTAAGATCCTCAATACAATGGTGTCTGTGATAGGATAATATCCAGAAGCCTTTAAGGAAGACTAGGACTTCTGGTGTGGCGCTGGACTGCAAACCACAAAGTTGGAAGTTCAAACACATCAGCTGCTCCTCAGAAACCCTCTATAGGGTCACTATTAGTCGAAGTCGACTTAATGGCACGTAACAATAACAATAACAATAAGAAAGATTGGAGTCTTGGTATGGCGCTCAGGATAATGCACTGGATTGCAAGGTCAGTTTGAACTGCAAGGTCGGCGGTTCAAACTCACCAGCCACTGCTTGGGAACCCTATATAGGGTTGCTATGGGTCAGAACTGACTCGATGGTACTTAACAACTACAACAAGGAAGGCCAGTAATAACACAGTTATTCAAAGATATGCACCAACCACTAAAGCCAATGATGATGAAATTGAAGAATTTGCCAACTTCTTCATTCTGAAATTGATCAAACATGCAATCAAGATGCATTGAATATTACTGGTGATTGGGATGCAAAAGTTGGAAACAAAAAGGAAGGGTCAGTATTTGGAAAATATGGCTTTGATGATAGAAACAATGCTGGGGATTTTATGAAACAATTTTGTAAGACCAATGGCATCCATTGCAAATCCCTTTCTTTCCAACAACATAAACAATTACCTGGACCTCACCAGATGGAATAAACAGGAATCAAATTAACTACATCTATGAAAAGAGATGGGGGGGAAGCTCCATATCACCGTCCAAAACAAGGCCAAAAGGGGCAGAATGTGGAACAGACCATCAATTATTCATATGCAAGTTCAGGCTGAAGCTGAAGAAGATTAAAACAAGTCCACAAAAACCAAAATATCACCTTGAATATATCCTACCTGAATTTAGAGACCATCTTAAGAACAGATTTGGTGTATTATACACTAATGATCAAAAACCAGAAGAGCTGTGGGATAACACCAAGAATATCATAGAGGAAGAAAACAAAATGTCATTAAAAAGACAGGTTAGAAAGAAAAGACCAAAATGGAAGTCAGCTGAAACTCTGAAACTTGCATTTAAGTGTAGGGAAGCTAAAGAAGATATATAAAATGAGGAGGTAAAAGCACTGAACAGAAGCTTTCATAAGGCAGCTTGAGAAGACAAAGTATGGTGCTATAATGAAAAATGCAAAGACCTGGAGTTAGAAAACCAAAAGGGAAAAAACATGTTCTGTATTTTTTAAACTGAAGAAAAATTCAAGCCTCAGATTTTAATCCTGAAGAATTCTATGGGCAAAATATTGAATGAACCAGGAAACATTAAAATATGATAGAAGGATTACAGAGTCATTGTACCAAAAAGAGGTAGCATATGATTAAGAACTAATGGTATTGAGGAAAGAGGTCCAAGCTGCACTGAAGGCATTGGGGAAAAACAAGGCTCCGGGAATTGACTGAATCTGAAACTGTTTTAGTTAAATTTCCATTTAATGTCTCTCTTTTTGTTGTTAAGTGCTGTCGAGTTGGTTCCGACTCCTAGCGACCCTATGCATTTCCAAGGAGCAGCTGATGAGCTTCAACCACCAACCTTGTGATTCAAACCAACTTTGCAGTCCAGTGCATTAATTAACACACAGTGCCACACCAGGGCTCCTCTCTCTCTCGTTATATATATACACACATGCATGCATACATGTACAAACACAGACACAATTTTTATTATTATAATTCCTGGCTGTAACTAAGAACTATCAATGCAGTGGTGCCATATAAAATGACTTCTATCATATTTACAAATAATGAAAAAAGTTTTAACTTCCTGGGAATAAGGAACCCCCAAACACTGACAAGCCATTAGGAGTTAAAGGAAAGAAAGTCAGAACTTGACACATCCACAGCATTCATGAGATTTTCAGATGGAGACTCCTGCCTGGTAGGTCTGAACTCACTGTGCTGTGTATAAGCCAAGTCAGTCTTTGCTGGGAGGCACTTTGGATCTAAGGCCCTGAGGGAAAGGAGAGGTGAGATACTTACTTTTCCATTTCATGAAAGAAATTTATGTCATTCATCAAAAAGTTTACGGTGACAATCTTGTGGCCAAAGATACGGCGCTTTACAAGTGTTCCTTCTTCACTCTCATGGTCTGTGTTCCGGATGTTAGGAAGGACTGTGCCTGGACGTCCTGGTGGGTTTACTGGTACAGTGAAGTCTGAGTGAGAAAGAGAATGGAATTAAACTGACTTCTCAATCCACTCTTAAATCCGGAGTCTTCAATTTGGGCACAACTGAAATGGAAAGAAAAAAATACAAATACAAAATTATGGACCATCTTTGGGTCTTTTGAAACTGTCATACTTTACCATTAGGCTCAACTTTTTCTTCAGATTTGATGAACTAATAAAAAAGTCATCTTCCAAGATGCTATGACAACATATGTATTTTTAAAAAATCATTATTATATGTTTGTCACACTGTGGTGGCTCGCGTGTTGCTGTGATGTTGGAAACTATCCCACTGGTATTTTAAATGCCAGCAGAGTCACCCATGGTGGACGGTTTGGTGTGGTGCTGCGGGTTAATACGCTAGACTGCAAGGTTGATGCCAGCCGCTCCTCAGAAACCCTATACAGGGTCTCTATGAGTCAGAACCAACTCAATGGCTCTTAACAACAGCAACAACAACAATCTTTGAAAAAGTGTTGAAATATCCTAGATGAGGAGGAGACAGTCTTTTTGACAAATGGTGTTGCCAAACCTTGTTATCCATTTGCAGAAAAATGAAACAGGACCGTATCTCATGTGATCACCACTTGTTTGTCAGTTGATTGTACTGTGTTGTCTTGCATGTTGCTGTGATACTGGAAGTTATTTCACCAATACTTTGAATTCTGGCAGGGTCACCCATGGTGGACAGGTTTCAACTGAACTTCCAGACTAATATACAGACCCGGCAGAAAGGAAGGCAGACTACTTCTGAATTATTAGCCACTGAAAACCTTATGAATAGTGATGAAACACTGTCAGGTAGCACCATAATATTGAATACTGAAACACAAGAAATAATTCCAGAATATTGACAGATAGAGTACTGGAAAATGAACATCTCAGGTTAGAAGGCACTCAGAATACAGCAGGGGACGAGCTACTTCCTAAAAGTTGACCATGATGATGCAAATGAAGTAAAGTTTTTAGGACATGCTGGTGGGACACAACTACAAATGAAGAGAAACAGCTGTACACATCCATTAATAACTGAAACATGGAATGTATGAAGTATGAATCTAGGAAAATTGGAAGTTGTCAAGAATGAAGCAGAACACATAAATATCAATATCCTAGGCAATGGTGAGCAGAAATGGACTGGTATTGGTCATTTTGAATCTAACAATTCCATGGTTTACTATGCCTGGAATGACAAACTGAAGAGGAATGGAGTCACATTCATCATCAAAAAGAACATTTCAAGATCTGTTTTGAAGTATAATGCTGTCTGTGATAGGATACTATCCATACGCCTACAAGGAAGACTAGCTAATACCACTATCATTCAAATTAATGCACCGACCACTAAAGCCAGAGATGATAAAGTTAGACAATTCTACCAACTTCTTCACTATGAAATTGATCAAACATGCAATCAAGATATATTGATAATTACTGGTGATTGGAAGGCAAAGGTTTTAAACCAAGAAGAAAGATCAGTAGTTGGAAAATATGACCTTGGTGATAGAAATGATGTTGGAGATCACAGGATAAAATTTTGCAAGACCAATGACTTCTTCATTGCAAATGCCTTTTTTAAAACAACATAAAAAGGCGACTATACATGCAGACTTCACCACATAGAATACACAGAAATCAAACTGACTACATCTGTGGAAAGCCATATCAGCAGCCAAAACAAGGCCAGGGGCAGACTGTGGAACAGACCATCAATTGTTCATATACAAGTTCAGGCTGAAGCTCAAGAAAATTAAAACAAGTCCATAAGAAACAAAATATGAGCTTGAACATATCCTACCTGAATTTAGAGATCATCTCAATAACAGATTTGATGTATTAGATACTAATGATCGAAAACCAGAAGAGTTGTGGGATGACATCAAGAACATCATACAACAAAAGAAAACAAAAGGTCATTAAAAAGATAGAAAAGAAAGAAAAGACCAAAATTGGATGTCAGAAGAGGCTCTGAAACTTGTTCTCCAGTGTAGAGATGTCAAAACAAATGGAAGAAATAAGGACGTAGAAGGCAATATGCAGTGAGAAGCAAGTCAGCAAAAATGATGGAGGTAAAGAAGACATAGAAGTGTGCAAGAGTTAAAGGCAACACAGGTAAATACTGTTATATTCACAATCCTACAATCATGGTGACCTAAGAGTAATGCATGGAGAGACATGCAAACTGAATAGAAGCAGGAGGGAGAGTGGAAGCACACCAACACATTTATATATAGGTTTGACAGAGGGTATTTGTACACGTGTATTTACCTTTGCTGCAAATATATTTGTGAATGTAGTGGAACATACAGGGAACAAAACTATGATAATGTCTTTGGTATAACCAAACACCTTGAGGGAATGAGTTGCTGGGTTTGGGAGCTCAGGACCATAGCCTCAAGGAACATGAAGGTCAATTGGCATAATATAGTCCACAAAGACAAGGCATAATATAGTCCATGAAGACAATGTTCTACATCTTACTTTGGTGAATAGCGACTAGGGTCTTAAAAGCTCATGAGTGGTCATCTAAGGTACAACTATTGAACTCTCCCTGTCAAGAAAAAAGAAGGTTGATGAAAATTGAAGATTCATGGAAATCTTTCAATCGACTAATGAACCATGGGAACATCAGTTACCATGACTCTGAGACCAAAAAACTAGATAATGCCTGGCTACCACTATCTACTGCTCTGAAAGGGATCACATTAGAATGTCTTGGATTGAGTGTGGTGACATCATGAATTATTTAATGTCTCTTCTAGCTTTAATCTTTTTTTTTATTTACACCAAAGGACTCTCTTCCTGATGGGTCTGAGTAAGAGAAGGTAGAAGAAGATCCTGTTTGGATGATAAGATTCATTGTGATTGTAAAAACTTGGAACTCATAGTATAAAACGAACCTTCTCAGAAGCAGGAGCAAGGTATCACTACCATCCAAGAAGAAATATCCAAGATTGGAGTGTGTCCTTTGAACTCTGAGATTCCCGAGCATTGACGCTCCTTGACCCAGGGACAGAGAGCTGTGACATTGTAAGAATGGCAGAGGAGAAGTAGCGGCAGAACCAAGAGCCAGAGCACAAGACAGAGCAGTGGGATTCCCAACGCACAGAACAAGTAAAATGGAGTGCTTTGGGGCAGGAGGCATGCTTACAGAGTGGGGTGTCTCCATGCACTTAAATGGGGGAGCTAGGTTTGATGACCACAGAGCTAGAGTCAGGTGCCTTCAACCTGAGGCTCATGGAGAGCAATGTGTTCTGTGGGCATTTATCAGCAACTTTGTAACATTGAACAGACAGAGAGAGGCCTGCCTGTGAGCACAGCTGAGGAGAGCCTGTCCTGACTAAAACAATTATGCTCTGAGCATTTCTGACCCTAAATTGAAACATGTTAACTTCCCTAATAAGCCACATAACTGGGAGTATAGTATCTGAGTTCTCTGTGGACATAGTAATGAACAATTGGACCTAGCAGATGAGTTGAGAATATTGTTGGAGGCATGGTTGGTGCCATTTGTTTGCAGTGGGAAACCAATTAGGGATAAAACTACAAATCTTTTAAAAAGACCAGACTTACTGATTGAATAGAGACTGGTGGAATGCCTGAGACCATGGACCTTAGTCACCCCTAAGGTCACCCCTCAGGTCTGGAACTAAAACCATCTCCATGACTTAATTTTCAGCCAAACAATAAATAGCTCTATAAGGGGATCAGACTTCTGGTGAGGTGCTGTAGGGTAAGCACAGGACTGCAAGGTCGGTTTGAACCACAAGGTTGGCAGTTCAAACTCACCAGTTGCTTCTAAGAAACCCTTTACTAGGTTGCTATGAGTTGGAATCAGCTTGAAGGCACATTAACAACAGTAATAGGGGAACAACAACACTAGGGAGTTACACACACCTTAGAATAATCAACGATTTAAGATAAAAAAGGCAGCATTTACCCAAGGGCAAAGTTCAAAAGGGTTAGGAAAGATAGAGGAATTGAAAGAAGACACACAGGAAGAAAGTGGGACAAGTGATGTTACATTGTGAGGATTGCATTTAATGAGATGAAACAAAATGTGTGTGAGTTATTGAATGGAAAGTTTATCTGCTTTGTGAACCTTCACTCAATCCATAAAAAAAAAAAAAAAAAGTAAGGTTAGGATCTTTGGGATACCTGATTAATAAAGCCTCTTCATAAATATGAGGGGAATACTTTGGGATCAATAAAAGGTGGCTTTATTGTAAACAAACCAATTGCCCAGGATTCCATACGAACTCAGGGCCACCCTATGTATATCAGAGCAGAACTGTGTTACACAGAGTTTTCAGTGGTAGATTTTTCATTGGTTTTCTAGGTCATGCTCTTTAGGTACCTCTGGGTGGACTCGAACTTCCAGCCCTTCACTTAGTAGCCTCATGCATTAATTGTTGCACAACTTCTTATGAAATATTTGACTGCTAACCGAGAGGTTCAAGGTTCGAATCTACCAGAGGTGTCTCAGAAGAAAAGCCTGGTTACCTAAGTCTGAAAATTCAGCCCTTGAAAACCCTTTGGAGTATAGTCTACATGAGTTGCTGTGAGTTGGAATCGACTCAACAATAAATTTTTTTTTTAAATAAAAACAAAAAAAAAATTTAAAAACTTTTTTTTTAAAGGCCAAATTAAACAATATAAGGAAATAATTTTGCAAATTGAAGACTTCAGTAGTGCTTTGGACTAAGTAAGCATATTCTTCCTTGCTGGCTCCTTAAGCAGAAACTGAGCTTGCATCCTTTCTCAGCAGGCCTGTGGTAGACTCAGGGTCTGATATTCTTGCTAGACCTCAGGCTGATACAAGCATGACACCCAAGCAAGAAAGTCTGCAAGTTCATATCTGGGATAAGATAACAACACGGAAGGGGAGTAAAGAGTGAAGTCACTTACTTTCCTTGTTATTGTGCAGTTCTAGTTGAAAATAGTCTTGAAATTCCTGGCGCTTAATGGGATCTGACATATATCTGCGGTACTTGCAAAAGCTCTTGATAAAGCTGATCATTTTCAGCCAGCCCTTCTTCTGGAGAAGGAGAGAGAGGGAAGGCATTTATTAGATATTGCTGTTCCTGAAAGCGTACTGTGTACCAGAAGCTTGGCATTCAGTATATTTATTCCTCACAATCCCTTTATAAGGGATTAATTTTCACAGGGAACTAAGGTCAGACAGTTTGTATAACCTGCCCAAGATTAAACAACTGGTAGATGAAAGCTCTGACATCAGCCTGATATGGCTGGGGCAGTTACTCAGATTCCTTCAACCACAGTCTTGAGTGAAGATTTGAGATGTGTTAATGGGCAGAGTGTGAGCATTACAAACAGGAAGTAAAGAGATAAAAGTAAGTCACAAGAAGGGAATAATGGATCAGGCCAACTTTGAAACATTGAAGAAATAAGGAAACCAATAGAACCATTTCTAAGCACTTAAAAGTGTGTGGACATATTCACACACACAATATTATGAATTGAACTGTGCCTCCCACCCCCCCCCACCCCCAAAATATGTGTTATAAATTCTAGCCTCCATTTAGGAATGGCTTGTCGTTATGTTAATTAAGAAGGATTAGTGTAGTGTGTTTTGCATTCATCTCTCTTTTTTTGTGTGTGATTTAAAAGAGATTGAACAAGCAATTCAATAAGCAGAAAGTGGTGAAATAGATGTCAAGCCATTTAGAGGTTTCCAAGGCAGGAAACAAGGCCTGAAGAGGCAAGGACTTGCCCCCAAAGTCAACAGAAAGAAAAAGGCTTCTCTTAAAGCTGGTGCCCTGGATCCGACTTCCAGGTTCCTAAACAGTGAGAAAATAAATTTGCCTTTTAATGTCATCGACTTGTGGTATATCTGTCGCAGCAGCACTAGATAACTAAGACACGCACATACACACTTGCAAAAACATTTTATAAATTTCTCTGTCTATTAATAGATACCCAGCAACCATTTTTCAGTTCATTTACCCATTGAGAAGTTAATATTTAGAGCCAGAAAGAATCTCATTAAGCATCTAGTTCTGTTGAAATACAATCTAAGCATGGCTTTGGAAAACCAGCCGCAGTAGCAAAGCAGAAAAAGCATGGATTTGTGATCAGTAACTTCTGAGTCTAGAAATGTCAGCTTCTCCCTAATAATGTAATTTGGGTCCACTTATTTAACCTCTGTTAAAATGTCTCCATAGTCTTCAGCACTGTGGTGAGAGTTAGTTATTATACATGAGGGTAAGTTAAAAATATATATATACTTATTGTTAGTAGGATTCCAAATCATATATGCATGAGTTTTCCTAAACAAAATGTGTTTAAACATGTCTCTGATATCAGTGGATGGCTGCAGACAAGTTCCCACAATAATACACATGTGTCAGTCTGCTTAGAGTCCTTCTTAAAAACAAAAATCCAACAAAAAATGTCTTTTGAGGGGATCTGTTGAGCCAATTAATTTCAAAGCAGAGAGGTCAGTTCAGAAGGTTATAGTGACTGTTGTTTGGGATTCCCAAAGGGTCATCTTGATAGATAATCTTGAAAGACACGGACAGTCACAGGAGCTTTTTAGAAAGAAGTTTTAAGAAAATGGAAAACTGCATTGGTGAGAAAAAGTCCAGGAGAGTTGTACTGAGGGATTTTTTCATCTCAACAATGCATCTGCTCATTCTTCAAGTGTAGCAAAGGGTATCCTATGGGAATTGTGCTGGGTAGCCTTACCCTATTCACCCTGTAGAACTGATCTTGCCCTTTCGGACTTCTTTTTGTTCCTCAAACTCAAAGATCACTGAAAAGAAACACAATTTGAGTCCCTTGAAGATGCCAAAATGGCCACTTTGACATCGTGTAAATCAAAGTTTGCAGAATCCTTTGGGAGAAGGGCTAGAGAAATGGAAACACCACCTGCAGAAGTGTGTAGACATAGGAGGATATGTTGAGAAACAGTAGTTCCACACTTTGATATTTTTGCTTAATAATTGTTTCTATGATTTTGTAGTAATATATTTTGACTTTCTCTCATATGTAAACTTAAATACAATCCTGGAGCCCTGGTGTGGCATGTAAAATAAACACTGCTGCTAACCACAAGGCCAGCAGTTCACACTCACCAGCTGTTGCTTGGAAACTATACAGGGTCACTAGGAGTTGGAGATGGCTGGACGGCTCTTAACAACAACAGTGCAATACTTGACAAAAAGTAGGCATTTATTTAGCACATGTTGGCATCTCTTCATCTTTTATCCAAAGTCACAGAACAAAAAAAGCACACTTGAAATTAAAATGCAGTGTGCTTGTTTGTAGTCCCTAGGTGGCATAAACATTTAAGTAAGTACTAGATTTACTGGCCGAAAGATTGATGGTTCTACTCCACCTAGAGATGTGGCTCAAAGAAATACCTGGCAACTGACTTCTGCAAGTTCACAGGCTTGAAAACTCTGTGGAGCAGTTCTTCTCAGAATTGATTCAATGGCAACTAACAACAATAACAACATATTCATCACACTTTGACACGGAGTGTGTGGAGGAAACATGGAAGAGGAAGAGGGCCATGTGTTGTCATATTTCTGGAGCAGTGAGTGGATGAATGGCACTATATTCATAGATATTTTGCATAGAGTCAGACAGAGTAGAACTCAAATTTTGATAATAATGACCACTCTACAATACAATGAGCTAGTGATGATTTAAGGGGCATATTGATTTTTCTTTGCTCATACCATGTGAAGAGGTTTTTCTGAATAACATCCCTATCTCCCCTTTCTTCCATTCTTTTCTTCTCCCATGAAAAAAAAAAGGAATAAGCTATATAATTGATAAGTTTGAAATGAGAAAATGTGCTTGCTCAATTCTCAGCCCTTCACATTCTCTCTCTGGGATTAGCTTGTCTGCAGAGGACTTGTGCTCAAGTCTGCCCTTTGTCAGACAGTAAGGGGCTCACTCTGGAAAGGAAGCCTAAATTGTTTAGTTATACCAGTTACTGGGTGGATTGCTGTTTTTGCTGATAGGTGTCATTGACTCAATTCTGACTCATATCTACCCTATTCACACAGGACAAAATAATTGTCCGATTCTGTGCCATACTCACAATTGTTGTTATGATTGAGTCCATTGTTGCTGCCACTGTGTCAATCCATCTTGTTCATTGAACATCCACTTTATCAGTCATCATGATGTCTTTCTCCATGATGTTTCTCCATGAACAACATGTTCAGTGAACCAGAGATAACGTATCGCCATTCTCGATTCTAAGGAGAATTCTGGTTGTACTTCTTCTAGGAGAGACTTGATCATTCTTCTGGCAGTTCTTGGTACTTTCAATATTCTTTTGCCAACAACATAATTCAAATGCATCAATTATTCTATGGTTTTTCTTATCATTGCTCAACTTGCACATGCATATGAGGTGACTGAAAATACCATGGCTTGGATCAGGCACACCTTAGTCCTCAAACTGACATCTTTAGTCTTCATCACTTTCAAGAGGTCTTTTGCAGCAGATTTGTCTAATGAATTATGTTGTTTGATTTCTGAATTGCTGCTTCCATGAGCATTGATTGTGGGTCTAAGCAAAATGAGGTCTTTGACAACTTCAGTCTTTTCTCTGTTTAGCATGATGTTTTTTGGTCCAGTTGTGTCAATTTTCATTTTCTTTACATTGAGGTGTAACCCATATTGAAGACTGTTGTCTCTACTCTTCATTATTAAGTATTTTAAGTCCTTTTCACTTCCAATAAGCAAGGTGGTGTCATTTACATATCTCAGTGTGTTAATGAGTCTTCCTCCACTCCTGATGACATGGTCATCTTCATATAATCTAGCTTATGTGTTCAGCACACAGATTAAATAAGTATAGTGAAAGGCTAAAACTCTGACGTACACCTTACCTGATTTTAAATCATGCAAGTAATATTAATGCTACTGCTGGATGATTTCCTCATTCTATTATGTATGTAAATAATAGATGTATTATTTACATCTATTATTTATGTTTTATACATCTATTATGTATTATTTAGATCTATTATGTAAATAAATCCAATTTTGGTGCACAGAAAGCAATCAAACTCATTTGACCAATCCACGATCTCCAAACTAGGTTTTAGCAGTAATAAAGCTAACACTTTGATCTCCATGTGCCCAACTTCTGGTTCTAATTATGCGTAGAGAAGACTCCCTTAAGAAGGGCAATTCCCTTAAGTCCCCAGTGTAACAATTTAACTGAGCCTCAAATTCTTTCTTTGTGAACTGGAGATTCCAAACCTATCTGAAAATGTAATCATTTTGGTGATGGAATAGGCTAGCAGTGAAAAGTTTTTGTATGGTAGATAACACATACATGCTTTTGTCAGGTGTCATTTTGTCAACTGCAACTCCTGATGCTGCTGTGAATCACAGAATTAAAACTCACTTGCTCAGCCCTACACGATCTTCATGACCATTAGTGTGCTGGATACCATTACTGTGACCACTGTGTATTCTAGTGCCTTTCAACCTAGGGGATTCATCTTCCAGCACTGTATCCAATAATATTCTATTGGGATCTATAGAGTTTGTATTGGCTAATGTTCAGAAGTAGATCACCAGGCTTTTCTTGCTAGTCTGTCTTAGTCTGATAGTTCCACTGAAACCTATCAATCATCGACAGCCTTGCTAGTATTTGAAATACTGGTGCATAGCTTCCAGTGTCATAGCAGTATGGAAGCTACCACCGTATAACAAACTGCCAAATGGTGAGGGTAATGCACAGACAATGGTTTTCAGTTCTCCATATCTTGTTTTCCCTTTCCTCCTCACTGACCTGTGATTCTTGTAGATAATTTACTCCTGTCCTTGAGAGCTTCCTAGGGGAAGCATGCACTTCAGTTTCAACCTCCAGAGAACGCAGTGGGAACTGATCTTGGTAATCTTTAAACCTGCCAGCAGGAGACCAAGAATATCAAAGTGGGCAAAAGTCTGGCAGATGAAAGATACCAGCCAAACCAAAGTGTGGACTTCTATCAGCTTTTGGAAGAATAGAAATGTGAAAAAGGGACCCTGGTAGCACAGTAGTTAAGTGATCAATTGCTAACTGTAAGTCCAGCTGTTCAAACCCACTAAAGTCAGTGGTAGAAAGGTTGGCAGTCTGCTTCCATAAATATTTAAAAAAAAACACAAAAATCAAACCTATTGCCATCGAGCTGAGTCTGACTCATAGCGATCCTATATTACAATAGAGTATCCAAGGCTGTAATGTTTGCAGAAGCAGACTGCCACATCTTTCTCCCATGGAGCAGCTGATGGGTTCAAACTATTCCGTTAGCTTAGGACTTAACCGCTACACCACCATGAACTACTGTGAAGATTTCAGCCTTGGAAACTTTTAGGGGCAGTTCTTTTCTGTCTAAGAGGGTCAATGTGACTTAAAACAACAGCAATATTCTAGAAATATAAAGAGGGATATGGTGAGATACTAAAAGAATACATTTTCCTACTTTGCTAATGTCCACCTCTCCCTCCAGATGAATACTGTGTTGTTCCTTTGGAGGCCAAAAACCAGGACTATATGTGTGTGAGTAGATAGAGAGAAGTCTTCAAGATAAGTTTGGTTTGTTCTTTCTTTGGGAAGTTTTGACAAAGGACTTTGAGAACGGACTCTCCTTGATTCAAGGTGCTTTCAGGAGCCAATGAGCAGAAAGAGGCAGGGCTACCACTGAGCATACTCACCACTTTTCTTCCAGAGATCTTATGACGTAGCCTTGGGCCATGAACAACATGTCAGTACTGACTTTACGCATGTGAGTGATTTCTTTGATAATGGGTGCATTACACTGCAGCATTTCTTCTAAAAAATTGCAAGAGGGGGGAAAAAATCATCCTCTTGTCTACAGTATCTGAACTAGTGTTTTTGTTTGCTAGTTTGCTTTCATCTTAGAATCTCATTGTCTCAGAACCCAATTAGGTTCTGAACACCCCCACCCCACCCTGACTGTGGTTTGATTGAAAATCTCAAAAGCACATTCGAAACATTATATGTGTGTAAGTGTACAAGAGATCTCAAAAAGTTCATGGAGAAATGAAATTAAAAGATATTGGAATTTGTCTAGGAAATTTTGGAAGGCCCCTTTGTATTTGTAAAGCAAATTTTTACATGGTTTATATTTGTATGTCCCCTTTAAGCAAACCTACAGAGTGCTTAAGGAGAAAGACTTTTTTAAAAGACTAATTTCCATAGTTGATTTGAAATTTTCTTTTTAGTGGCAGTTGGAAATAGGGAGCCAGCAGAAGAGTCCAGGATTAAAGTTGAGTTTATGGGGCAGGTGGAGAATTCAAGATTACAAATCAATACTATTAGAGCCATATGATTCTCCAAGTTTTCAGAGGTGGCTGTGTGAAGTAATAAGACTTGAATATGTAACAGAGACAGGATCTGACGCTTCTCTTTTCCTTCTATCCCATTCAAAATGGTATACAAAGCTCAACATCCTGGAATTCAACAAATAAAGATTTCTTACAAATAAAGATTTGCCAATTTTACCTTTGATTTCTATTTGCATAAAATGTATAACCTTATATTGTTTTGCCACAGCAAAAGACAAATTAATAAACACATAAAAATTATTCTTTCTTCCCATCTACTATTAATCTTTACCAAAACAGAAGGCTCTGTTGTCCTGGTGTGGCGGTGTAGCATAAGCACTGAACCGCTAACCCACCAGCTTGTCCTCAAAAATTCTATAAAGGGTCACTACGAATCAGAGCTGACTCAACAGCACTTAATAATAACAGCATTGCCATGTTGGTTGCTGTAGATGTATTTACTTACATAGTAGAGCCATGCTTTCCCCCTCTTCCCTCTAGAATTAATTGGAAGATAAATTTAAAAGGGTCAAATTTACTCTTCCACTTGACACAACTAGAAAACAAGACAAATTTTGGGAAACAAAGATTTTCAAGCAGAAAGTTTTTTTCCAGTGCAAATGTGTTGACAATCCATTGGTTTGACAACACTTCAGCTTTTCTTTGGTATCTAACAGCTTTGTTGATTTGAGGGTCAAAAGACTTGAGTATGAATTCAAGTACCATCAGTTGGACACATTATTTCACTTCTCTATGTCTTACCTTTCTCATCTAGCTATGAAGCTATCTATCCTAACCTTATGAGGTTCTTTTTTGGTTTAAATAAATGTGATGGGAAGAATTGCACACATAAAAATGATCAAAATGGTTTGTTAGTTACATTTTTTTCACAACAATTTTTTTTAAATTAAATGATAAGATACATGTGCAGGTGTTTTTCTTGTGGCCTCTTTTACTTGTGTTACTACTTTGGATTTATTACTGTTGTTGTTCTCAGCTTTCACTGGTCTTTTGAATCTTTATTTCTCAGTTCTGCCCTATGTGGCCTCTGCACTGTTCTGCTCTCTTGTGATGCTCACATAAGACAGTCTCTTTCTTGCACTACTCTCCTAAGGCACCGAGGGAGCAAGGAATGGCAAAGGGGATACATACCAGCAGAGACTCTGCCATGGAAGAAAGTCTTGATGATATTTTCAAGGAGAGGCTTCTGCAACTTTTCATTGGTCTCAATATTGATCTTCTGTACAGCTAACACGAACTGCAATGGGATTTCACCTTTCCTTTCCTTGAGAAACTCCCTGAAGCAGTCTAAGTGTTGTGCATTTAGCAGGACTTCTGTCAGGTTTCTGGCAAACAAAAACACATCATTGTTGGAATGAAAGGGATGGTGACCCTAGATTCTGTACAGATTCAGAAATGGGAAAGGTATCTTCCAGGCTATTGGGCCAATAGCCATAGGTGAAGGGCATAATAGATGAATAGGTTAATTCCCTTGTTTCTTTAGAGATAAGCTTGAACCATTATGAACCCCCCTTCCTAAGCTTGGTCCAGTCACTTGACAACATCAATGGAAGAGCAAGGAGAGAATGTGTTTTAAAGGGGATAATTTTCTTCAAGGGAACTATCTCTTTTACGTTATGGATATAAAACCACTACTCAGTTGTAGTCATTCTCTGAGGCAAAGCCTGGTTGATCTAACAGCTATTGATAAACATTTCTAGATGTCCTCTGCTCATTTTTCCTTTCACTGCTCTTTAGATATATTGTTATTGTTGGATGCTGTAAAGCTAGTTTTTGACTCACAGTTACCTTATATGACAGAGTAGAATTACCCCTAAGAGTTCAGTAGGCTGTACTCTATAGGAGCAGGTTACTGAGCCTGTTCTCCCTCAGAGTCACTGGATGAGTTCAAACTGCCAGCCCTTCAGTTAGGAGCCAAGGCTAAACCACTGTGCCAGCAGGACTCCTCTCCTTAAATATAGGCACTCCTGATGTTGTATCCGCAGTCCTCTCTCTTTCTAATTTATGTCTTTTCCTTGTGTAATCTCTGCCTCTTATGTGGTTCCAATTTTCACTGATACGAGGAAGGCTGGTAAAACTCTTTATCTAGTTCCAAATCTCTACCCTGAGTTCCATGATCAGCACTGGACTGCGAACCAAACAGAAGTTCAAATCCACCAGCTGCTCCTTGAAAATGCTATACAGAGTTGTTATGAGTTAGGACTGACTCGGCAGCCCTTAACAGCAACAACATCTTTAGATCATAGCTGTTATTTACACCTCTCTACACACACCTGCAATTGACCAACTTGTTCTTCCTCATTTATTTACCCTATTTCAGAGAATAGTGTTACCATCAATCTAATTTCTTGAAATAGAAAACCAGAATTTTATGCAATTTTTCCTTTTCCACCTACAACCAACTCACACATCTAAGTGTCATTAATGTTTAATTGATTCTGCCATCTCAATTAAAAAACAAACAACTTTATTAAGGTATAGTAAACACACTTGTTTTAAATGTACAGCATATGAGTTTTAAGCAAATTTATCATGGTGTCCAACCATCACCATAGCCCTGTTTTAGCACATTTTGTGCTGTGGGCTCATGAGCTAGACTGCAAAATCAGTTTGAACCACAAGGTCGCCATTTCAAGCTCACCAGCACCTCCTTGAAAGTCCTATACAGGGTCTCTGTGGGTCAGAACTGACTCACTGGCACTCAACAGCAAATCAGACCCCTTTTGACTGTTTACAGTTAATCATGATTCCCAACTCCATAGTCAGACAACTAATAATTCACTTTCTATTTCCATAGATTTGCCCTTTTTGGACTTTTCATATAAATGGAATTATAAAACATGCAGTCTCTTTTGCCTCACTTATTTCACTTGTTGTTGTTGTTAGGTGCCATCGAGTTAGTACTGACTTATAGCAACCTTCTGCACAGCAGAATGAAACACTGCCTGATCCTGGGCCAACCTCACTAACATTGCCACGCTTGAACCCATTGATGCTGACACTTTGCCAATCCATCTCAAGTGAGGGTCTTCCTCTTTTTCTCTGACCTTCCACCTTACCAAATATGATATTCCTTCTCCAGCGACTGGTCTCTACTGACAATATGTCCAAAGTATGAGAGACAAAGTTTGGCCATCTTGGACTTCAAGGAGCACTCTGGCTGCACTTCTTCCAAACTGATCTATTGGTTCTTTTGGCAGCCCATGGTACTTTCAATATTCTCCTCCAACACCATAACTCAAAAGCATCATTCTTCTACAGTCTCTCTTATTCATTGTCCAGCTTTCACATGCATATGAGGTTA